CGTGATTCATATATGCCTTGATCTATCGATCAGAGACTGTTAAGAATGCACTCAGTGAACTCCGCAGAGGCTATTTAAACTGAAATAGTCGATATATGAGGGGGGTGTAATAAGTGTATTTGTCCCGCGTCATTGTCTTTGGCGACTATAAACGAACTTTTCGGATCTCGATGATCAAAACAAAAGATAGCTGAAAAAACTGTTTCCTGGTTAAAAATTTTGCTGTTTCGTACTTTCTCGAAATTTTTCATACAGCGTTTCAGTTTCACAGTTTGTAACCATTACATAATAGAACAGCTTGTCTAAAGAAGAATAAGCTGTGATGGGTATGTAAGAGACTCAAGATAAATAGCAGATCAGGGACTGTTATAGACACAAATTTTCCGTCCACGGGCGCCCACGGATGGTACCTCAAAAAACGCTTCACGCGGGCGTCCATGAACGTTCTGTCCAAGGACGTCTGTGAACGAAAAAGTTTTTTCGTAATAAAATAAGATAAACGTTACTGCCCATCTTTTTTGTCATGCATCAGCGTTCAGTTACTATCAGTCCCGCTGCTCTGAATATCCGTTCCACAGTAACTATTGTTGCGGGTATTGAGTGAATTTTTCGCGTGACTTTGGACAGAATACAAAATTTGCTCTAAGAAAAAAAATTTTTCGTTTCTACTCATGGACGGATAAAAACGTGGACGATCCTTTCAAAAAGTTTTTCATCTATGGATGCCCATGACGTAGGTGTCCATATGGGCGCCCACAGCGCTTCCTGTATCAGATGCAGCGATTGTCATTTATTATTGTATCCTTCCCTTCCGATACATGCAGAAATCGCAATAGTGTTACATCCGTAATACTCATAACAGTCTCTTTTAAGTAATAAATGGTAATAAATACAGATCGATAACAACAAAAATAATGCCTCTGACATAATCAATCATAACAAGATATAAAAGAGTGATAAAAGAAAATAGACAGCTTCCGTAAGTACAAGTAAGAGCACTATTTAAAAAAGAGAAACGTTGACGTATTTTCTCTTTCTCTCTAAGATTTTTCTGTGCAAAACATTTGTCCAGTCTACTAAAGAATCCATTAAATTATTTAGATGATCAAAATTTATAATAGTTCACAAATACTAGTTGGACATAACATTTATAACAAACACCTGTAAAATTTTGCTGTTCTTACTATTCATCTGAGGAAAACACAATGGTGTAGCTAATTGTTAAATTTAACAGGTACAGCAGTGGAAATGGTCCGCTCAGCATATCTCATTTTTCTCCTGATTATTAGATCCCTTTTGAAAAAATTTCTTTCTTCAACGCCCGGCTATATTGAACAATATTGAACATTTTGTTTTATACTCCGTATTGGGAAAATACTGTGACGTTTCATCTTCGATTACTTTCTAATTCCTTCGCAGTATTCTTCTCATAAAATGACTTTAGTATCCTAAACTTGCCTTGTATTGAATAAACTTGTTTTACATCGTTTTTTAGTTACAGAAAAACTCAACTCTTGGAGACTTGAACTGACTCTTATTACGGTTTTATTACTATTTTCTCTACAAACGCTAGAATTTCATCAGCAGATTGTTTTTATGATGTACAGCGTATATATTCTCAGTTTAGTTGAAAGAAAGATACTCTCGAAGACACACATTGTAAGCGTCAATTTAAGTCCCAAGATTTGAGCTTTTGTGTAACTAAAGAACGATTGTAAAACAAATTTATTCAGGATTTTCCTCGTCAGCATTTACGGGATATAAAACAAAATGCTCAATAAGTTTTTTTTGTAGAAAATTTTAGGACGATTCTCTTGGTAAAGAAATGAATTAAAACGGATTTAATCGATGATCGAGAGAAAAATGAGACATACTGAGAGGGTCATTTACCCTCCCGCACCTGTTAGAAGATAATTAAATACACACGTGGTGTCAAGCTCATCAATGTTTGAAAATGTGATAATCGTTTAAAATAAAACAACGCACTTTGAGTTTATCAAGTCTAAAAGTGTAAAGGAAAGATAAAAATACAAAAAAAATCTATCACATAATACAGCACCGGGATTGTTTATTTCCATATTCTAAAACTGTACGTTTGATAATTGTAGCGATAACTTGTTCCCAATAGTTTCTTATTTTGATCTAACCATTCAATAACACTTAATTCTGGTATAATTTCAATTAAATCAATTTGTAGACTGATTAATTTTTGCATATTATCCATTAATAATGGTAAAATAGTTTTTAAATGATCAAATGTTTCAATTGTTAGACGAAAATATTCAACATATTTGAATATAGATAAAAATTTTGTCCTATTATTAGCATCAATCGTCACATAACTTCCACATAACCAACACTGTTTAATCATATTTTGAACATACGAAATTAAATATTCATTATCATCATCAACATGAAACGTTGTATTTAACAAATTATTAAAATCAGCTGTTAATGATGACAACATTGAACATGATTTTAATAGATCTAAGAAAATGTGTGATGATAATGGTATAAGCATTTCAAGATGTTTCAATTTATTTAATGGAGTTAAATGAGTAAGATCAGAAATTGTTGATGGTGCATAATTTAGTTCTAACGAATGAACATTTGGAAATATGGGCAAATGACGTGCAATTGATGTTGTTAATGTACTGGAATAATTTTGAATTATTAATCGTTCAACTTCACAATAAGCTGTCATGTCAACATAGGATAACTAAATATAATAAAAATAAGTTCGTAAAAATATGACTGATCTTTAAGTTACTTGGTACACACACATACTCACTTGATTTTGTTCTTGTTGATTTCTATTCATGTCAAGATTGGCCATATTTGATATTAGTTCGAATGATGAAAATAGTATAATTGGTTGAATTAGATTTGTACCTAAATTAAATTCTTTAAATTGATATGGTACTGTATAAATATGGAGTTGTTCCAAATTTTCATTATAATAATATGTTATATACCAACATTTATCATACCAAAATTTTGTTTGAAATGATTCGAGTACACCATTAAATGTTCGTTGTTTACGACGATGTAATGTTAAATGAAAATGAAAATGTTTTAAATCGGGTAAAGATTGTTCAAATACATGTTTCCATCTTTGACTATCTAAATATTCTTGATTATGATTTACATCTAATGTAAATGATTTTAATTGTGATAAATTTTTTAATAAAAGTTCAATAGAGTCAAATGGTACATGTTCAATTTGTAATTTTAATTCATTTAAATATGGCACTAATGTACATAAATTTTCATAAATATCTGTTGACTGTTTTTTATAATCTAATATTTTTGCTTTTAATGATTTAATTTTTGGAAAATATTGAAATATGATAAATAAATCATCATAGGAACAACCATCAATTGATAAATATTGAATTGGAGATAATAAATATGCAGATTTATTAGCTAAAATGAAATAAAGTTGTAGGTTGTAATGAATATAAAAAATATATAATGATAATGTATATAGTTTTCTTGTGAAAATAGTCTCATTTCAACGCATAATTGAAAAAGATTTTTTTTTTTGATTTTTTCTAGTAGAAATATTACAGGCAACTTTAGAATTTATCTAGATAAAACTGGACAAAACTATAATCGAAATGTCTGAATCGGTCAATTCTAAGTTTGACTAAGCAAATATGAGATTGAATCAAGCAAATTAAAAATCATTCGATAAAACATGGATTTATCGATATTTGTTACAACCATTTCTCGAATTTAGGTAAATTTCAAATATCTTAGACAAACTCTTGGTAAGACATGGATTTTACTGTCAAAATCGGTTTTAACACTTCTTTTGACTTCATAATTACCTAGACATGTGAACAGCATTCATTGACCACCACAATCGTAACAGTGAACCAAAAGCGCATGTTTGAAAAAATAGATTTCTTTCCACAACTGATATTTCCATTATATTTTACGTATGGTAGCTCACGATTCTAGTGTCCTGAGACTATTGCTAATATACCGCACGGTGTTCGATACCAAAATGACTATATTAAATTTGATTTGTCACAAAATCCATACTTTATCAGGAGTTTGCCTAGACAGATTAGAAATCTGTTTGAATTCAAGAAATGCGTCCACAACAAATATCAACAAAATTATCGAAATATAAACAGTAGCAGCGTTAGAAATACATTTACATTAATTAGTCAGCGAGAAAATTTTATGTATTTCTAGAAAAGTTTCGATTTTCTAAAGATGCTGAAATGATCAGCCGAAAATTATCAAACATTTTTTGCCCCTATAGATTTTTAAATAGACGCCAATTACCTGTTAGTGGTTGAAATGTTAATTGTCCACGATATTCTAATACACATGTTTTTAATACCGGAAGTATATCAGCTGATATTATTTGTGAAATATCTTTTCGATCAGTTTGTGTAATATTGAGTTTAATTGATAAATAAGTTAATCTTGGTAATTGTTTTGATAAAAAAGCTTTACATTCTTGAAATGTTAAATAAATTAATGTCAATGATCTTAAATTTGATAATAATTCAATGTCAAATATAGATGAAAATAATGTAATTGCATTCCATGTTAAGTCATTTGATATTTTTAATGAATAACATCGTTCAGAATATTCCGGTAGTAATTGTTGACAACAATAATCAAATTTATCTTTAGATAACTTTCTTAAATCAAACATTAAATGTGAATCAAGAGATATAATTGAATCAATTTTGAAATCAACATCGAAAAATGAATGAATAATATCATTACCGGATAAATAACGGAAAATTTCTAAAAATAATTCAGCTGGAAACTGTAATATTGACATTGTTATACGGCTAAAATTTATATCTACAAGAAAGAACAATAAAATAAATTTCTTATTTTTTAAGTTGAATGACACACTGTTAACTAGAAGAAGGCTGATACTAATGAACAAATCGACAAAACGAAACACCATTATCATTGTAGCAAAAAAAAAGATTCTATTTAAAAATTGTTTAGAAAGATCTGAATTATGTCTAAAAGATACAATGCGTAAGAAAAGGGAAAGTATTTCATATGCTTTTTTTAGTTTTTTGAAAAATACAGTTTGATTGAATAAAGTTTTTGTATTTAAACAACAATTATATTAATGTCTATTTCATGTATTCTTTTTCTTTGTTTCAAAGCTAAATAATATTTTTTGTCATGAGGTTAACACTATCACCGATCATATCAAATATGTTTCAGTAACTAAAATACGTAAGAAAATTTGACTTCAGAAAATACCAACATAATTCCTATTTAAATACCAAAATTTTAATTAATTTATGTGTAAAAAGAATTGAAAAAGTATACAAAATGCTTTTTAGATCATGTGCAACTAACTACAGACTATATATTACACTTCACTTATTGTACCACTGTGAAACGTGTATGTTTTTCAATGCGTCTACTCTTTCAACGGATCATTAGATATTAGGTTGAGGAAAAAGTTCGTGCGCCGTGTTAAAATAATGATTTTTTATATATTTTTTTTTGTGTTTTTGATCTGGTTTTGTGGCTATTATGAAAATTTATTG